CTGCAACCAGCTGGTCTAATGCTTACGGCAGCTAATCAGACTAAAGTCGCAACCTACGGCCAGAAATTACTTACCTTGAGTCTCGGACTACGGCGCAACTTCCCTTTCATTTTTGCCATCGTCGATGTGCAAAAGCCCATCATCGGAATCGACTTACTCAGCAAGTTCGATCTTGTGGTCGACCTACGTTGTGGGAAATTACGAGACGATACTACGTCTTGAAGCATCTTCTGCAAATTTGCTTCCATCAATTATCTCGGGCTTCGCATCCTCATACCTGACGTCTCACAGTACTGCCCATTGCTCCGTCAGTGCCCGTCCCTCATTCGAGCGAGTAACGATACTTTCCACGCTAAACACGATGTACGCCAGCACATCGTTACAACTGGTCCGCCAGTAACTGCTAAAGCTCGACGCTTGCGCCCTGACAAACTTCAAGCAGCTAAAAAGGAATTCCAACACATGCTTGATCTCGGCATTGTTCGTCCTTCAAACAGCTGCCTGCCATCACTTCTCCATCTGGTGTCAAAAAAGTCAGGCGATTGGCGACCATGCGGTGACTACCGTGCTCTCAAAAATGTCACTGTTCCGGATAGGTATCCTATCCCCCATATCCACAATTTCTCACTTGGACTAGCCGGAAAGTCGATCTTTACCAAACTCGACCTAGTCAGAGCTTACCACCAGATTACAATGGCGGGGGAAGACATCGCATAAACCGCTGTGATCAATCCATTTGGCCTTTACAAATTTCTTCGTATGCCTTTCGGCCTCCGGAACGCAGCACAGTCTTTCCAACGCTTTGTGGATTAGGTCCACCGTGGCCTTGATTTCGTCTACGTTTACATTGACGACGTTTTGATCGCAAGTGCCACACCCGACGAGCATTTAGCACACCTCCGGGTGGTTTTCGAACGCTTTGAAAGCCACGGTATAACCATCAACCCGGACAAATGCAAATTTGGTCAGCCAACGGTCGAATTTCTCGGTCACAAGATCGATGGTGAAGGTATTAAACCCCTCCCGGATAAACCTCAAGCGATCCTCGATTATCCGATGTTCCAATCTGTCCGAAGCCTACGCCGATTTCTCGGTATGATCAACTACTACGGCAGATTCATCCCCAACTGTGCTGAGTTACTGTATCCGCTTACCAACTTATCGAAAGGAAACTCAAAGACGTTAACCATAACCCCAGAAGGTGAAGCTGCTTTCTCGGCCGTCAAGCAGAAGTTTAGTGAGGTTACCTCTCTCCATCACTTGAACACCACTGAGGACGCTACACTTGTCCTTAAGACGGATGCTTCAAGTTCCGCTGTCGGTGCAGTTTTGCAACAATTAGTTGATAACGAATTTCAACCGCTGTCCTTTTTCTCACGGAAGCTACAACCTGCTCAGGTCAGGTACAGCACCTGTGGTCGTGAACTGCTCGCCATGTACTTGGCTGTGAAACATTTCCGTCACCTTTTAGAAGGACGCCGTTTCATACTCCTGACAGCTCACAAGCCACTGGTGTACGCTTTCCGTTCTGTGTCGGACCGTTACTCACCCCGAGAAACGCGTCATCTGGATTATCTTTCGCAGTTTTGTGTTGATGTTCGTTATATCGATGGTCCTAACAACGTTGTTGCCGATGCATTGTCCCGCGCCCATTTGAATCAACTGTCATCGACACCCATCGACTTGGAGAGAATAGCGGCCGCCCAAAACGATGATCCTGAGCTCGTTCAACTTCGTTCAAACTCCTCATTGAAAGTCACCCAACTGCCCGTACTTAACTCTGACCAAAGAGTTTACTGTGATCTTTCAACCGGTAAGCCTAGACCCTTTGTCCCACAATCATTTCGCCGAACCATTTTCGATCATTTTCACGGTTTTTCACACCCAAGTATCCGCTCCACCGTAAAACTCATTACCGACCGCTTCCTCTGGCCCAATATGCGTGCAGACATTAGACAGTGGGCTAAACATTGCCTTAGTTGCCAAACTAGTAAAGTGCATCGTCACACAGTCACCACCCCAGGTACATTTTCACTCCCTGACGCTCGTTTTAGACACGTGCACATAGATATTGTTGGCCCTTTACCTCCTTCCAACGGTTTCACTCATCTTCTAACATGTGTTGACCGTTTTACCCGTTGGCCACAAGCTGTTCCCTTACGTGATACCTCTACCGAATCTGTATCCCGTGCTTTTGTCGAATCTTGGATTTCGCTGTTTGGTGTTCCATCCACCATCACTACCGACAGAGGGGCACAGTTCAGTTCCACACTGTTCCGCGATCTGAGTCGTTTATTAGGCTGTACTCACATGAGAACAACCGCGTACCACCCCGCTGCCAATGGCCTCGTCGAGCGCTTTCATCGACAATTAAAAGCTGCCATCATGGCTACTTCGTCCGACTCACGCTGGTCTGAGCGTCTACCTGCGATCCTCCTTGGTATACGCAATACAATCAAAGAGGACATTGGGTGCTGCCCCTGCAGAACTCGTGTTCGGGACGACCCTCAGACTACCTAGTGAGATGGTACTGGACTCTCGCACCACCGGCGAACTAGACACCTTCTCGTACGCCTCAAACAGCATTTTCGATCCATTCGACCAATGTCTACGCGGCCTAACCTACGCAAACAGCAAGTCCACCCCGATTTGCACAAGTGTCCGTTTGTTTTCATCCGCGTCGACGCCGTCCGAAGACCTTTAACCCCGCCATATGAAGGCCCCTATCAGGTCTTATCACGGAAACCCAAGTACTTCGTGTTGAATAAGAATGGATCGAAAGAATCCGTGAGCATCGACCGACTCAAACCAGCTTACGATGAACCAACAGTCGATAGTACAGATCCCGTTTCCTCCCCTCAGCATACGCCCGCCCCTGACTCATTACCCCCTACCCAACAACACGTTGACGCCCGTACACCGAGTCCTCTGTGCCCTCCGATACACGCAGCTCTACACACACACACGTTCTGGTTGTGTTGTTTTCCTTCCACCCAAGCTTGCTCAGTACGTTCCGCAGGCACTTTGTCGAGCGTTTCCTTAGTGCACGCTCCAGAGGGGGAGTACCGTAGAGATTGTAAGTAATTTGCCTATTTTTCATTTTCACGTTCACCTATTTCGCTGCAGTTGTTGTACAGCTTTGTTTTAATTAACTATATACAGATACACTTGGTTACGAGCTCGTCTTCCGTGGTTCTACCTTGGTTGCCGCTGGAATGTTGTGATTGTGCGCGTCGCTGCCTGCTCTATTCGCGATCGGACACTACGTAAACGTACACTTCGGCATACCTCGTGATCTACGGTCGTCCGACGCTTTGGCGCATCAGGATATTTTATGTGTGGTAAACCTAACTGACTGAGTGTTTTCCTTGCTAGTTCCTCCATATATTGCAAGCTGATCCCTGCGTTTTCCATTCAATCTGATAAAGCGAATTGTCGCAGTCGGCCTACTACCTCCAGCTCGCAAGAGACTGGTGTGATGGTCAAAACAATGGCAGACGTTTTTGTATGTTAACATAACTCCTGGAAATCCTTTTCTATCGGATGAGTAGCGAATAGCATTATCCCAGAATACACTAGGAACGTTACTGCAGTCATCATGCCGATGCTACTACTATCGCGACGACAAGCTATTTATTAAAATTTCAATGTGGATCCGTTGTCTGGCGTTCCACGGATTGTAGGAACAAGTTGTGCATTCACAATGGAATGCCGTACACGGGATTCCATCTGTGAAACGTTAACACAAATAGGCGCTGAAGACGACATCGTGGGATGAAGAGACATCAAGAATTTACGCTCTCGTGCACCAATTACGAAGAAACTCTACTGTGGGGGTCTAAAAAGCGCTCCAGAAAGGTAGGCTGTTATACTGCGAATAAAAAGATCAGGCTAAGGTACTTGAAGCCTAGGATGACCAGTTGTCAAGCCCGAAGCAGTGCCGTTAGGTGGCAATCAATGATGAAATGTTCGTTGGCGGCTAATCTACAGCGACATTTATCCACTGTGAGCTGACTTGCGGTTAGCTTGGTTTGATCACACGCATCATAAGGCCATTTTAGGAAGAGGCATGTTAAAAAAGATAACCAAAAACCACGAGAAATATACACAACCAAGGTGGACAGAAATGGAAATCTTTGATTTTATTTAGAAAAATCCGGTATGGAAGGAATGTGATGCGTGAAAGAGCTAAGAATAAAATTAGATGACCGTTAAAAGTGGAGCAATAAAACGGTTTTGCAATTGCACATGGTAGAGCACAGATAAGCCAGAAAACAGCAGGGATCAGAACCGCAGGCGCGACGTCTAAGCACGGGTGCCAGTTTGTAGGGGAGGAGGTTCGTACGCCAGTAGATAGCATAATGTGTAACAGGCGTGTGGAAGAAGGCAGGAAGAGCAGCTGCATTCTAAGTACATCGTCAGAAATAAAGAAACAGATTGAATGAAAACAAAGTGCGAAGCAGACGTCCTTCTGAATAAAATACACTTAGTGAGCAAAGTAGGCAGGCAGTTTTAGCAATTAAGTTATTGGCGCATAGGATGTGTGGGCCTTGCACATGGTCACTTGGTGAGCAATGCTCTGGTTAATCAAAGGGATACCATATGAAGTATGATTGATCCGCGAAGGAATGAACGCGTGCAAATATCACAGAGATTCCAAAGTCAAAAAATAAAGGAATGACGGAAGTTTTGAACAAATCAGTTGTGATTAATTGGGTGGACAGCTGGTGTGTGCGAACAGTAAGCAGGAATATACAGAATGACGAAACCAATGTTAGCGGGAAAGTGTTTGCTTGGATCAAATAAAAGCAACAAGAATCACGTCTGACTGACGAAAATGTTGAAACGTTGGAATGCATACACCGAACAAAGTGCGATTGTTCGGGATAAACAACAGTGACCGGTGGAGGAAAAATGCAGACCGGTTGTGGACCAGTGAAGAAATGCGTGCGAGAGAATGCAACACGACACAGACGGATACCAAACACCTGGTGGTCAAGTTATGGGTTCAGACCACATCGTTTCAGTTTGGCTGAAAGGATGTTGTGTAAAATAAACACGACCGGCTTTGGACAGCCCAACATATCCAATTCCTAAAAGACGGAGAAAGGGAGAAATATTTGAGTTAAAAGATGTTATTATTATAAGATTACCAAGGCTGATAAGTACAAAATCGTGTAAGGGAAAACGGCACGAAAGCAAGCCGTAGGAATGTTTCGATGTCTCATTCTATCGGATGCACAAGAATACTGAATACTTGGTTATGGGAACAAATGGAAATTTGAAGCTGTACAACCTCAGCGAAAATGAACAAAACGTTATAAACAACAAATACTATTTATGACATGTCAACACGAATCGTTTTCCCGGTTTTCAAGATATACAGTAATATACATTCCACATAAGCCTGAGATCTGCAAATGTGAGTCAGTAGGTTGTTCTTCTGAGAATCTAATATTGGAGAAATACACATCCAACAATATTGTGAATTGCTGCACTGAGTGTGCTCTAACGATAAACTCCGGCAAACTGTTCCAAACATTGACCGCTCATCAGTTAAAGCACAGTGGATGGGAAACTCGCTTCAGATCTGGAAACACACAAGTGTGTAATATTATCCATGTCTATTGCAGTGTTCGCAAGTAGAGCTGTGGCGTTAGCATGGAGGGAGTCACCTAGATGCCCAATATTTTCTGCTCCAAATACAAAGCTAAAAACCAAACTGACAGGGGTTGACCACAGAATGAATTGATAATGATAACGGACACAAAATACTCAAAACGTATTTCTAATCATTGTGATCAGGTTGCTCGCGGAGAACGCTAGGGAAACAATGTAAGCAACCACCGATGTAAACAAGTGAGAAATAAGTAGACTGCTGTCCCAGGAGTGGGGTGGGGGGAAACGTCGACCCCAATAAATGGGGCAGGGTCTGTTTGGCTCCTTTGACGTAAAGCGAATAACCTCCATGAAAATCGGTGATAGCGTGAGGCTAATGTTAGAGGATATCCGTGATCAAATAGTAGTATTGCGTTGGGACACGGAAGCTAAGCAGAAATATGAGAGAATGGATTTCATACTTCATACAAAGGATGCATACGCCGAACTATGTGCAAACATCTGATTGGGAAACCAAGAACGGATAATGGAAGTGACTTACATATTCATTATCGATACCGAAGTCCATCCACAGAATGCTACGCCCGTCATCTACAGTGGACCGGAGTCTTTCGTAAGGGAAATGCCACAACACATGCGTAAACGAGGATGCCGGTGTGACTGCGTTGCTGTACTCTAGGCACGGTTGCCGCGCAGACAGCGTCACTCCACTGTCGTGATTTAGAGTGAGACGACAGTCCTGTTGTTGCCATCGGCACGTAACGACAACCTCTCTCGCTGCGGCTACAGCCGCGTGGGAGCCGATCACGATGGCAGCGCACCAAGAGTTCAAATCGTCCGGAGTTGATACTGCGAAAGTATGCGATTCAACACCGTGTTTGCTACCTGGGGACGAGAAATAATGCGCAAAACTGCTGAGTGGAGGCTTCAACGAGGTTGAAATGTGATGCAAAACGGACATAGACAAATATTTAGTAATATGTGTAGACATCAATCCATAAGAATAGATATCGAGCTTTTCCAAACCACGGATTAAGAATCAAAAGTGGTAATATGTACAACCTCTGAATGAGAGAAACGAAAATGAGGAGAAACGAAGAACATTGGCATTATTTGTCTTTTCTGACGTCATTTGGTGTCTTATTCATTTTCCAGAGTTAACGTCATTAAAATTGGAAATTCACGCTAATTTGCGCACCGAGTTTTTACTGCATTCGGATTTGTGCCATTGCGTCGAGCGTCGTAAGTCACTAACACTTCAACTTTGAATCCCCAACCAGGCAGACATAAGAGTCCAGTGATATCTAGGCAAATATCAGTATTTTCGTGCCAATTGGTCAGCTTGTCTCCCCGTGGTCTCTTCCAATGCGGCCTTGCGAGTGCAAATAGGGCGCAGCGTGGTAAACGCTAATTAGGCATGCGTAAGACAGCCAAGAAATTTCAAATGGTATAGCAAAACAACCTCACAGAGAAGACCCGTCTTGCCCAAGTAGTGATGTCTGAGATAATCATTGCACACTCGGTCGCACCATCATAAACGGGCGATCCTGTGCAAACAGCCACTGTTAAGGGCCGAAAACACGCCATATACACGGATCGGCCAGGACTCGCCTACATACGATTGCATAGCTCGAACACTGGAATTGTAGACCACCCCTTATAATGCGAGCGAAATGCTGCGAGGATGCCACAAATGCATCAGGTTGGCAAAAGACAACCGAAGTTTCGCGACACGAAAAGATGGCTCCTCGATAAATAGTGCCCTCGGTAGAAATGCACCTCCTTAGGTAGACAAATCTATCCACGTGTTCCGGCTGTATGCCTTCGATGGTGAGCTCAGAAAGGGACGATTGCCAATCCTGTAATAGGACTTTACACTTGAAGGGGGAAAGCGCATACCGTACATCGAAGCTGCAACTACCCGTGGGTCAAGAAGCAATTGCGTGCCATGAAAGTCGTCACCAAGCAAGGCGATATTAACAGTGTGCTCTAAGTCGGTTGCGCGATCACCTGGAATCAGCTCGAAGCCACAGCACCCGACAGGACGTCTTCAATCACAAAGTTGGAGAAGAAAGGAGCCAAAGAGCATGCTTGTAGCACACAAATGGTACCAGGGAAGAATGCGGAAAGCTAACCGCAGACTCTCACACTGCCAGAATTATGGAAATAGTGTTTAAAGTATAGCGACGTTATTTTCGGGAATTCCATTCTTCAGAGCAGGCATCGCCATAAAGCGGATGGGGTCTACTGAGTTGAATGCAGCCCCAATTTCTAGGAAGGTGACGTTGATGGATCTGCGATGTTCAAGGAGCCAAGGAAGCGCGATCGCCAGCCAGGGCGAAAGCCAACTTGCTTCACCCCATAGCGTGTTCAAGTTAGCCCTGACTTCCGGCTGTTAGACCTGGAATTTGCTGACGATGTCGCTATCTTTGCGGAAGGTGCTATATTACCACAGTCACTGCTAAATCGGGTCGACTAATCAACCTCTATGATGGGCCTCGAAATTAACATCAGCAAGACAAAATACTTCTCATCGTTAACCACTCAGTCTGCCCCGTCGCTCTTCTTACATGGACAACTCATCGAATCCGTTCCTGAGTTCAAGTATCTTGGTCAAGCTACATCCGAAATCCGGAATCGTATTGACAGTGCTAGAACAGCCTTCCTACAACTGAGACATTGTGGCGAAAGACAGAAATTAGTCTGAGAACAAAGATCCGAGTATTCTCAGCAACCACTGGTGCCACTTTAATTTATGGTTGCGAAACATGGCTGCTGCGATCCGGAAGCTGGGAGTTTTCGACCATTGGTGTCTAAGGCTTATCTTGAAAACGCAGTGGCATGAGCGTATCACCAATGACGAAATCCGTAAGCGCTCTTACGGTCTTCCGAAGCTCACAACGCTCATCCAAAGCCGCAGACTTCAGTGGTTCAGTCACGTCCTCTGCAGACCAGACACTAACTTCACTAGGGCCGTAGTTTCACCCTCGCATTACAAGGGTTGGTGTCGTCGCCGCGGTGGACAAGTGAAAACGTGGCTCACTGCAGTGAAATCGGACTCCATGTTGTGCATGGTGCTCGTCACTTGAGGAATCATTGGATCAGTATCTGCGTGAAGCTTGCCGCCGACCGCAGCGCTTAGACAGCTGCAATTCGCGACATTTATGAAGTCGGCTCATCTTGTCGAAGGAGCTAGCCGCAGTAAAGTAAGTGTTTCACGAGTAGGGGTTAGGCTGCGGAGCACGATGGATGCTAATAACTTGGAGTCAACCAATGAATGATCCCTCATTGAATGGGGTATCAGATACGAGAACCAATCTTGAAGATTTCACCATTACTGACATCCCAAGAAGAGGGTGATCTTGCTTAGAATTAGATCTTCAGAAACAGGGGTATTAGTTGGCTGACAACTGCTGTGCCACCATACTTGAACAGTTCAGGGGTAGAGCTATCATTATCAATGCTACAACTACAGTTACCACTAACACAGAGCACTGAAGATGCCACCACAGTTGGTGATTAAATGTTTGCAATGGAATCGCTCAGCTGGGCTAGCAAATCAATATCTCAGTTCCAGGGAAAGTTAGTCCGAGCCAGCAGCCTTCAAGAGATTCAGGTGTCGAATCTCACGACAAATGTTCGCTTCGGTGGTTGCGTGGTTGCAACGACAGTGCTCATGGCTCGCCAACAGGTGTGCGGGATGAAAAGTTGGACGGCAAAGACAAAATGAACTAAAATCATGCATTTCTTCAAGTTAGTGAATTGGGAGCCGCCTGTCTCACAGATGACTTCACTGTTACCAGAGCTCCTGCGTCCAGTGGTCCGAATGAATTGGAATAGCCCACGAGTGCTTCCAGGGAGAACGGCGACCATCTCCAATGCACGTTGGGGCTACCAGACTTCCCGATCGTCGCGAAGGCTTCGTTTGAGTTGTCGGCTGACAATGCTGCGAAGTTCATTGTGGTCCGAGTTTACTGGGAGATTTCGGCGGTGGTCGAACAGTGCCAAAAAGCGCGTAGAGAGCCAACCCGTTGTAGGATGTATTGTTGATCAATAAACTGGTCCGAATTGAGCATTACATGATGCCACAAGCTCCAGTAATGTTCAGCGTCCGTGAAGGGAACACAGACGAATGTGTTTACTAATGACAGCTGGTGAGCGGATTGAGCAGTTGATTTGTTTGTGTTTAGTCTAAAGTGCTTCTGGCTCGGAAACCCTCCGAATCGCCTGCAAACGCCCACACAAGCCAGTACGTGATCCGAATAAAGGTAAGTAGTCCGAAAGGACCGACAGTCTTGTATTCTATCCCACAATTTGACATTAACTGTGATGCGGTCCCTTCGAAATCAAGGCTACGTTGGTGAAGGAAGACGCCAGGCGGCAGAAGTCTCCTATAGTACCTAAAGTCTATAGTCACGAGAAATAGACCAATCTTCACACAAAATAAGAAACCTAGCTACGTTATCCGAACGATTCATTTTGAGTACGTGATGATCACCCAGATGAAATCCATCTGGTAACAGGCGAACAAGTTGTGCGACGAAGTCTCCGGTAAAGCCAGACTTGACGGCTTTACGTAACAGTTGATGACGCTGGCGACAGAGATCGTCATTAACTGATTCAGAGCTATGATCGGTTGGAGCATATACGTCTGAATCGGCGGTTTTGCGTAACAGTTGACGAAGTCGATGATAAAAATCGTTTTTGATTAATTCACAGCCACAATTGCTTGGCACATAAACAAAGACCACAAACAGAGTGAGCATTTTAGCGTGATGCCTGTTAACCCTGCGTGAGCATTGAAGCCGAGTCGCACAAAATTGGCTGTTAACGAAGACCAATTAAAGAGTACAGCCTCGGCTCTGCTGCTTAATTCCAGCCAAGCCAACTGCAGATACTTCCGCGTCGCCAAACAAACGTAGGTTGTATGTGGCTACCTGGTCAGAGATCTTAATTTGATCACAGTGCATGGGTATTACAACTGCGTTTCAGAGAAACAAGAAGATTTCATTAACGGGGGCTGGGCCTCGTGTTGCGCATGCCAGCACACCGACTTCCGCGGCGTGCATTGTTTGCGCGTTGTGGGTGTGGTTGGATGAGGAGGAGGGGAGGCCAAGCAATGACTTGATCGAGAGAGATGAAAATCCTCACTTCGAAGTTGGCGTCGGTTGGTGCGTCCAGACTGCCTGGCTGGGGTCCTAAGGACGGTGAACACGTTTGGTTGGACACACTTGCTGATATGGCTTGGAGCCGGCCCCAATGGCGTTTGTGTTGTGAGTTCCTTTGTCCATCCCCTCCCCAATCACGATCTCATTCGTTAGGCATAATATAACTCTCTTTGTACGGCACGATAGTCGGTTGTTAGCTCTCCGAAACGATTTTCATTCGTTAGTGGGGAGTCAGCCGGTGTGCCTTTTGTATTGCGGCATCATAGCTGAAGTATTTTTCACTTGCAGCTAACATGTATAATGATGATGATTTCCGTTTGCCCAATGTTATCACATCTTACCTCTTGTGCGAGGTACGTCAATAATTGTACTTGATTTATATTTTATGATGGAGACAGTTCTCAGTTTAACCGTTTCTTGTGTTATCATGTCTGCTCACACATTTGCGCTATTTATAAATTATTGTTATATACCAGCATGAGGAATTCTTAAATTACAGTTTTCATGTATATATTATCATGCACCTAAAACTTTGTTATTTTGCGTTCTTTTCCCAACCATCTGCCAAAAAGTATCCGAACGTTTGGTAATTGTCGAGGATTCCGACGAATTTGGAAACGAAAGCAATGGCGCAAAAAGCAATGGAATTGGAACCACAAACGTCTTTGTACAACAATTTCTTCTTCTTCCTATCTTTTCTTACTGCGGCACAATGGCTGAGGTATTTTCCATCTGTAGCTAACGTGCATAATGAATGAATGAATGTGTGTTGCCTTTGTGGTTGGGACTTGTTATCGAAAACCTCATTTGGAAGCATACAACCGAAGAAGCAGTGGTGTCGAATTTGTGTCAGACCTTGTTCTTTGTATGCGATCCCGTTCGAATTGAGTTCACTCCCCAGTAAGGTCGTCAGACTTTGCGGGGACGGCCTGACGCAAAAGGATGTTGGAAAATCAGCTACCGAGACGGTTCAAGTAGTGCAAAAAAGTCGTCTCAGAAATCTTCACGTTTTGGAACGGCTAGGTCAGCTGCTATTTGAGCCAATCAACGAGCAAGTAGATTTGAGTCGCGAGACGGGACTGAATTTTCAGGGGACATCTTGTCGCGTATGTTGAACACAGCTGACCCAAACGTTTTCCACATTGAAACAATGGGTTACCCTGGGGTTATCTACTTTCCATCAGAGGACTGATCCCTTGCATCAAGCCGTCAAAATTCTAGCTCCAACATGGCTTTATTAGTAATTTCCCTGGGGTGGTGTCTTGCAGTTCCGTTTCGCTTTCACTCTCACTATTAAGTGAGGATAAAGATATGACGTAAATAACGTTAACAGGATCGAATGTAATTCGGTGCTTCGTGCACAGTGGTCCAGCTGAATCGAATTGAACAATCGAGAACAGTTCTTAGGCTAAGAGAATGAAATACGAAAAAACTGCAGGTGGTTCATACGCACTGAACGCAATTCGGTGAAGTATGTGGCCACTGGGACTTCAACTACTGCAAACGTCTCGGAGACATAAACAAAAGCGCAAAGAAGCAACATTGCGGTTGAGTAACTCAGTTCTGGTTTCTATGACATACCTGTTCTGGTGGAAAATGTGACCATGTTTCCAGGGGGCTGCGGATGAGGCTCTCCTAGACCAGGGGGTCGGGGATTTGACTGCACCAACCGTGTTGCTATCAACGGATGCGCCTGAGACGGGTTAGCCCACTCCTCTTTCGTGGTTGGAGCAGTGTCGTACAAGAGTAGGTCTCGATCCGAGAGAGCAGCGAACACCGGCTTCCAAGTGGTGTGAAACATGGTGGAGGTGGCGGTGTCATTACCGAGGTTACTGTCCGGGTCAACGCCACCGCCATTAGCTCCAAAACGATCCGAGGGCCGATGATCAGCAATGTCTGTGAAAGGAATGGGGCCAGTAACGCGCAGTTCCACAAGCCAATCGAGTTGCTTCAGTTCCTAAAGCGCAAAAGCGAGGTATCGACAATAGGGATGGCGCAAAAGGATAGCAGGGCAAAAACAACAGGAGCAGAATTTAAGTGGATTGAAACTGAAACCCTATGCCACATGTGGATGTTCCATAAGCGGTGTAAGGAAGCGACAATGTAAACTGTGGAACAAGTACCCATACAAAAGGGAAACCAAGAAGCTAACGGGGTACAAGTGTTTGGCGCCTTATAAGAATGTATGACAAACGAGTACAGTGGCAAATTAAATCGCATTAGGAAGAGATGGCCAGTGGGCGCACATAAAGCATTTAGCTGAGATGTGCGAATTAAATCACTAAAAATAGTGAGGCAAGCAATAATGGTGGGGAGCATTGGGACCCTGTTTGACAAACAAACAAATGAAAGGCGTATGAACTGAGCAATCAGTCACCGGCTCCCAATTGCGCGTGATTCCCTGAATTCGCCCCGCTGCCTTGCGAGCAGGCTACTCGGTCAAAGGCTCGGGGTGGTGTCCTCTAAGTCAACACCCTACTTCGGCTTGGGAAACCGGATAGTATCTCGCCCTCTGACGAAACCATGGACTCTGATGTGTCGTGTTTTCTTTTACGATTTCTGTACCTTCTGTTTAGTTCCATGGTTTTTGATGGTTCTATGTCTATTCGTAGACGGTTGTTATATATATATAAAAGCAATAATGAAAAGATATCCATTGGGTGTTCATATGGTTTTCGAGAGCCCAGAGACTTAGGGAGGGGCTCAGACCAGGAACAACATAACAATAGAGGATGGATGTCATCACCGCCTTAAATCTGAGCTCCCTGGACAACCGTTTCCACAAAGGTAAGGGAGCCAGTGTTGAGCCTTGAGAAACATCGTGCGAACGAAAAACGACCGCGGTTTACGATGATGAAGCAAATATGTAGTTCAGAGAAAAATGAGGTTGATAGTGCAGCGGAACAGTGATGCACAATTCAGCGGGATTCGAAGGTCCAGTACACCTTAGCCAGACAGGTTACTCTCGTGATTTTCCACTTGTATGAAGAATATGCATATCAAGCGCACACAAAAGACGTTCACAAGCACGGAACTATCGCTGAAAATGTTCAAAAACCGGCAGAAACTTAGTTATCCGCGACAGATCTCAGGGTGCCACCCTACATTTGCCCGTCAGTAAAACAGCTTCAATTTCGAATCGGTGCACTTTCGTCATGCTTATAAAAAGCACTTGCATGCAGTAAGCGTCCGTACAGATCAGGGTTCTTATTCCTGATTTGCAAACAAAGTCCGCCTCAGGCCATCACTCGCTCTGCGACTGACTGGGTGGCAAAAATACGCGAACGATAAGATGGAGGATGACAGCGATATAGTGCTATACAAAACTCCAATCAATAAATGACAGCAACAGCATGCATGTATCGGTACAGGGTATCGACGCTTCGCTAACAAAACAAAAGAGTTTAGATGTAATCTTTTAAAGTATTCATCCCAGTAGTTCACAAGCTACATAGCACAGCCTAATCCGGAAAAGCACCAGACGCGTTTCGCCCTATTGGGTGATAGGTGGTGCTATATGCCAGTTAGCTTGCAAATTATGTAGTTCAATCAAAGTCCATTATGGCTGTGGCTTAAGTTGCTGGCTAGTTGGCATCCGCCTCTAGCGGTAATGGGTTCGATCCCCAGTAGGGGACCGAGGAAATGCGTACCACTGACAAGCCCCAATAGAGCGAAAAGCGTCTGGTGTTTTTCCGGACTGGGCGGTGCTACGTAGCCTGTGAACTACTGGGATGAATACCTTAAAACAAAAGGAGTCCAGCGTAGCACATGATTCCCATAAAGCACACATTTAAGGAAAGGAAACAGTAGTACGCCGGCACCTCGTGTACCGACGCTTCTCCGCCAAAGCAATCGCACGTGCGCTAAGTATACCGCGAGATCACCCGCATCCGCGCGAATTTGAATCGGTCATCACCATCATCATCATCAACAACAGCAGCGCATCTGCAATTTGCATTGATGTGTCGCTGCGGTACACACATGGCGAACTACAAACAGCTGGCTAACCTGCAAAGGCGACAAAAGCGAGAGAGCTTTCTTGCGGATTTCACTGCCCCGCGTCATAATCAGTCATCGTCCCGCAGAAAACTCAGCACTAAACACACTCTAAACAGGCAGTCCCACTACGAGACGGTAGCAGACACGCCACTGGTGTCAAATGCGAGCCATGTCCTGCAAAGTCTCGAGCCAAGCACAAGGCTGGGCACGTGGGCTCCAAACCTGAAAGGCGACGGACCGACGGCACCGAGTTTGATCAGTAGTGACTTCATTTCCCGCTACCAAGATAACTTTGGCTTTGCACCACCCTACATCTGGCAAAAAATACAAGTATCTTATCGGTAAGCAGTGATCAGGCATACGTAGTACATGCCTAATCCAAGCAGTTCATTCAGTGCTATCTGTAGGTCTAAGGAACTAGTCTGATAATCACCACCTGAAACTCACCTACGCACATAGTTGCGGATCCGCTGGTGCCATCGGACACCAGCATTGCTTCGCAGACAATGAGGATCAAAGACTTGTACGCACCGCAGGTCCTCCGATCGAAGGCGCAAAGTTTCACTTTCACAGAGTAGGACGGCCCTAACTGTGGCCTTGTAAACACGGTCTTTCAGACCGAGGGAAATCCATTTCTGATGCCACAGACGTCGCAGATTCAAGAATACAGTTCAAGTTTTTGCCACATATGAATTGACTTCCTTCATTATGCACCCATCGTTGCCGATGCAGGTAGGTAAGGTGATCAACTACCTCGAGTTCCTCGCCATCAAGGATCAAGGGACCATCAAGTGGCAGGTGGTCCAGTAACAACACTGCACTTTGAAGGTGCGAAGCGCATGCCAAACAACGAGACAATTCTAGAAAGGTTATTACGGGTTGACTGTTGGAGTAGAAGGCGCGTAAAATGTTCACATATTTCATGAGAACAGCTTTACCATGCAAGTAGTTCGAAAAATGGATCGATCGACTGAGTCTAACACACAATGGAAGTCCAGGAACGCAGCTATTGTCTGTCCGTGGTGTGTGTGCGTGTGTGACGCTGCTCTAGTACCTGTCTCAGAGTTAATATATGGTCTATGCAGCCCCGTCTAAGACTGGAGGCTGTAGTTCCATCTGCACTGTCTAAAAACCCCGGCCACGCTCACTGAGCAATTCAAGGCGGAACTGAAAGACCTAATCGCTGGTTCACCGTTGCACAGCCATGTCACTACCCCAATGCGTCTCAGGAGAGGAAACAAACCGGCCATCTTGTACCTCGTTTTCACCAACGAGGAGCTCATGATCGATGTAGTAACAACGTGCACTCCTTTGGTCTGCAGCGATCGCGCGACACTAGTGCTCCATTACATGTGCTATGCAGAGTAACCACCACAAGAAAGTAACGAGGAATCTCATGTCGTAACCAATTATTATCCGACCTGATTGGTGCAACAACCTGCTCTTTCCTAGCCAAATGGTTCCCTGTAGTGGCCTGTGGGGAATTTGTCGATAGATTTAACGGGCTCGTGCAAAGCTCATGTGAAACCAGATTCGCTGACCCAAAAGATGAAGTCGTCCCTAAGGAGCAGGACTCGGAAATGCATGGGATTGAGGGAATTGGCATGGCTCGCCCACATAGTCTCTCCGAGCGAGGACAGCTGGGGTGCCTATACAACACAAAGGAACCACTGTGTCAAACTCGTCCGGAAAGATAGAAGAAATAACTAACTAGACCTGGTGACAAAACGCTGCTCTAACTCCAAGCTGCTATATCGAAAAGCAAACAAAACTTCGCTGGGTTAAGCGTGCAATTCTTGTTCTGCACGCAACACGCCGGCTAGCACAAACGGCACAAGAGGCGGCCAACGTTCTTGGACAACAATTTGGTAATACTTTTCAAAGTGTACAACAATCTTAGATCGTACCTTTGGAAATCATAAGGCTATTAGCTCTAAATTAAAGATCTTTTACAATCACAGCTGTACTGAAACGGCCCATGTTGTGGGAGTAGAGCTCCCCGGGTGCAGATGGCATTCCCCCAAAGGCGTTATAATCATTAGCTGAACCGTTAGCAATACTATTTAAGCGATATCTCAAAGAGATGCACGTCTCCACGACGTGGAAGCAAGGAGTCATCACTCCAATCGACAGAAGTGGTATCGGTGCAGAACCAGCAAATCTTCGCCTGATCAGAGTTCTTCCAGTGACAACATAGAGTACATTGTAACTGAGGCGTTCAGAGGGACAGCTGGAAAGTAAGGAAATTCTCGATCCGGAGCAGCACGGGTTACGCCAAAATCGGTCCTGACCTACTAACCGTTGATCACTTTTGCATGCTGTACGGAATCTGTGGATGCTGGTGGACGCTGCCTACCTGGGTTTCTCAAAGGCATTGAACTGTCTGGATCATTGAATTCTACTGCACAAATTTCGGAATTATGGAATCAACGATTCCGTTCTGATCTGGATAGCCGACTTCCTCATTCGACTTCACTGGAATGTAACGGTTCGCGGCACCCTATTGGAACCAATCGAAGTCCAGTGCGTCGTACCTCAGGTCTCGGGCCCCGCCTGTTTCTGGTCTTCATAAATGATCTCTTGAGTGTGCTATCTCCAAAATGTCTACTATGTGCCGATGAATCTAAAGATATTGCGCTCTATCACTGCAGTGCAGAATTACACAGCACTACAAGATGGCCTGGATAAAGCGCGCACATGATCCATCGAGAACATGCTGCAGCTCAACGTGTACGCCATCAGAGTACTCATAACTATAGCGGGCTTCTGATGACTGCGATCTCGGCGTGTTCATGCAAAATG